TTTGTGATTTCCGGCTGGGGCCCAGAGGACGGAGGAAAACCACATTTCCTCTTCTCACTCTTGATTTTACAGGTGGTAAATGTCACTGGCAACCAGGACATCTGTTACTACAACTTCCTCTGTGCTCACCCCTTGGGCGTCCTGAGGTAAACCCAGTCCTCTGGTTGCCCATGAGGCATTTAGAAATGCCTTTCTGTCTAATGTTGTGATTTCAGTTTTTAAAAATGCTAAAAACAACTGTGGGAAACGACTCTATTCAAGGGTAAAAAGGAACTAAACCAAGAAGTTGAGACCACGTATGCTCCTCTCGTTCCTGTATATGGTTCTCAGGAAACATTCCTAAGCAGGCTGCCCGCTAAGATGAGGGCAGTGACATTTTTTAAAATGTCAGATCTCTAGCTGTGGTGGCATTTGTTCACAGGCATGAGCTGGCAGCCTATTGTCTCATTCGATCCATTAAACAACCTCATGAGACAGACATTACTACAATCCCTATTTTTAGATGAAGGCAGGTGAGGACTTGCTGAAGGTCCCTCAGCTGCTACGTAGTGCAGGACACAAACCCAGCCCTGTGGCCTCCCAGGCCATGCTCCAGCCACCAGAACTTGGAGACGTGGAAGAAACATTGCCTGGGAGTTGGGAGTCTGGCTTCTTGCTCCAGAGCTGAACCAGCATTCGTTTCCTCAAATAAAGCTGCTGGCTATGATTGGCTGACACTTATCTGAAATTCACAATTAGAGAGCTGAACATCGACACTTACGTGGGTCCACCTGTGAGAACTCACTCTCACGGTGTAGCTGAAACACTTGCCCGTCTTTGAAGCAGCTGTCCTTCCCAGGACTCATACTATACAAATGCCATCGGGATATGAGAGGATGGGAGGGTGTTAGGAAGCCAAGCAGGCACTCTTGAGAGGAAATAGACACATTGTCACAGGCTGAGTAAGCATCATAAAATGAAGGAGTTATGTTAAAGAGGATTTCTAATGCTTTTCTGATCCTGAAACCTTATGGGAAGGTTAATGGAAAACACTGATGCTGAATTCGTTCATTCCTTCATGCATCATGCATTCTCTGGTCCCTTTGATGGTCTTGATTCTCTCATGGCCTCTCACTCATCCCTGTAGTGCCTTCAACAACATTCTCAGCAATCTGGGCCACGTGCTTCTGGGCTTCCTCTTCCTGCTGATAGTCTTGTGCCGGGACATCCTCCATCGGAGAGCCCTAGAAGCCAAGGACCTCTTTGCTATGGTGAGGAGAGAGTGGGTGGGAGCTAGGGAGGGTTATGGATCCAAACAGGATCTGCAAAGGAGTGGGACATCTGGCTTGATGGTGTGATGAGTTACTATGTGTAACAAACTGCATGAGACTAGAAGCATGGGCTTCCAGATTAGTGATGTGGTGGATATGGCACTATTTAATGTCCATTGACCACCCTTTCTCCTTTTGCAGGAGTACGGGATTCCCAAACACTTTGGTCTCTTCTACGCTATGGGCATTGCACTGATGATGGAAGGGGTGCTCAGTGCTTGCTACCATGTCTGCCCTAATTATTCCAACTTCCAATTCGGTAATTAGAATTTATATCTACTATACAGATTTGAATCATGAGTCTCATCCTGGAACCCTCCCCAAAAATGTCAAAGTCATGCTTGCAAGGATCAAATGGCATTTTATGTGAGCTGAGGTGGTCAGAGAGGACCTCCACACAGAGCATGATCTGATTGAGCAGTGAGACTGCTTTGGGATGAAAGTTATGGAGAACCCAATTTATATTGGATTGAATAATAAGGACATCCAGATGTAGAAAGGGCTTGTGGTTGATTTATCTGGTGGCTCTGCCTTCATTTCTCTGTGATCTCTTTGATTGTACTAAGCCTGTTTGTTGGTTTTATCCTCAGGCTATCTTCCCTGATGGTGGCAAAAGTAACTATAGCAGCCCCCATCTTCATAGCTCCACCCAACAATTCCAGAGGCGGCAAGCTGGGTTCCAGGAGCCTTCAATTAAGAGCAGGGAAGCTGTTTTTTGAGAAAGCCACAGATAACATCCTTTCACACCTCAGTAGCTTAAACAGTCATGAGCCCATTTTTTTTTACAGCATCTGGCTCTGTCGCCCGGGCTAGAGTGCAGTGGCATGATCTGGGCTCACTGCAATCTCTGCCTCAAGGGTTCAAGTGATCCTCCTTCCTCAGCCTCCCTAGTAGCTGGGACTACTGGTGCACACCACCACTCCCAGATAATTTTTGCATTTTTTTGGTAGAGATGGGGTTTCACCATGTTGGCCAGGCTGGTCTCCAACTCCTAACCTCAGGTGATCTGCCTGCCTCTGCCTCCCAAAGTGCTGAGATTACAGGTGTGAGCCACCACACCCAGCCCCATGAGCCCATTCTTGAATCATTCTCTAAGCGCTGGTTAGCTCACACCCAGGTTGCTTCGCCAATCAGAAAAAAAGGTGGGACTGTCTTTAGACCAATCAGCCCTGACCCTGGAGCCAAAGGTGGGATTAGCTTTCCTGAAGCAAAGGGGCTAAGACTGTGCATTTCTGAATTGAAAGTGGGTAGACATTGAGTTAGTATTGAGATGCTGTTAAGAAGGAGGAAGGGAAGAGTTGATGCTGTCTAGCAAGTAACGACGTCCTCCATGCTCAAGGATGAGGATTTTTTTAAACGGTCATTTAATGTTTGTGCTCCGGCTTCTGGTTGTTAACTCTGAGCACCACAGAAATCTGTCACATTTAATTTTTTTTTAATTAGAAAACATTTTCAATGGAGAAAACTACAGAGAATATATCATTCACCACTCAGAATGAACAAATGTCAACACTTTTAAATATTTGCCTAGATCTACTTTTTAGACAATAAAGCACTGTGATAAAGTTGAGGTCCTGTTTTGACGCACTTTCAAACTTAATCTCCTCCTTCCTCCCCTAAAAGCAATAACCATGATTAATTTGATATTTGCCTTTCTGGTTTTTATAATTTTTCTATATTTGTAGCAAATTAATAGTAGTTTATCATTCTGTGTTCTACAGCCTTTTTGCATTCAAGAATATGTTTTCAAGATTTATCAATATTATATCAAGGACATGTAGTCCACTCATTTTTTTTTTATTATTATACTTTAAGTTCTAGGGTACATGTGCATAACGTGCAGGTTTGTTACATATGTATACCGTTCACTCATTTTTAAGGGTTATCTATTGTATAACAAAAAGTATCACATTTCTCAATTCCTCTATTGAACAGCATTTAGATGTTGCCCATATTTTGCTATTACAGATAATGCTACAATGAGCATCCTTCTATATGTCTCTTTGTATGTATGTGAGAGAAGTTCCTTGTGATACCTAGAAGTAGAATTTTTTAGTTACTTGGTCTGTGCACCTTCTATTTTACCAAAAACTGACAAATTTCTCTCCAAAGCATTAATTCCCACTCCCAATAACTGTGTGAGACTTCCCGTTCCCCAGATCATCACTAACATTTGTTACTGTCAGACATTTAAAGTTCTTACCAAGTTTTTGAGTAATATGGAGGCATTGCATTGTTGTCTTAATTTGCATTTCCACAATTCTAATGCAGTAAGCTACGTTTTATTTCTGGCTATTTTCCATCACTGGGCTATAAAGCTATAAATGTGCAGTAATCAATATGGTTATATTTTAGGGTGCTGAGAACGACCTCCCACACCCATCTGGGGCTCATTTTATGGTCACACTGCCTACACTATCACTATTAGGAATTCTTTTGTTATTGCTGTTGAACACCAGTGTCTGAAACGCAAGGGGCGATAGTTGTTTATTGTATCAGACACTCTTCTTCCATGAAAGAGGAGTTATTTATTTATTATATCAGATGATTTTTTTCTGTGAACTAAAGGGCAGCCTTAGAGAGGTTTAGAAGTGGAGTACGTGGGATCTGCCTAGAGAATGTTCCAGGAGGCTGACATGTTAGAGGTCTCCACACAGTCTGCGGGTAGCAAATAGTCCATAGATTGAAGTGAGGGGTACTCAGAGGCTGAAGAAGAATCTAGAAAATATCATCTGTCTGTCACCTACTGAATCCTGATCGTCTGGCTCCTCCTTTGGGTCCTCAGACACCTCCTTCATGTACATGATCGCTGGCCTGTGCATGCTGAAGCTCTATCAGACCCGCCACCCAGACATCAATGCCAGCGCCTACTCCGCCTACGCCTCCTTCGCTGTGGTCATCATGGTCACCGTCCTTGGAGTGGTGCGTCCCCCACCTTCTTCCACCTGGCTCTCAAAAAGTGCCCCCCTGGGTCCAATAAACAAGCAGCAATCAAGTGAACGGGTTTGGATTAACCAAAATCCTCAGTTCATGACACACTTTTATCATTGGCCCGCTCATGGCATACTTTTATTTAGTTATTTAGTTTTTTGGTTTTTTTTTTTCCAGACAGAGTCTTGCTCTATCACCAGGCTGCAATACAGTGGTGCGATCTCAGCTCACTGCAACCTCCACCTCTCGGGTTCAAGCAATTCTCCTGCCTCAGCTTCCTGAATAGCTGTGCCTACAGGCGTGCACCACCATGCCCGGCTAATTTTTGTATTTTTAGTAGAGACGGGGTGTCACCATGTTGGTCAGGCTGGTCTCGAACTCCTGACCTCGTGATCTGCCTGCCTCAGCTTCCCAAAGTGCTGGGATTACAGGCATGAGCCGCCGTGCCCGGCCTTGTTGGTTATTTTTAGTAATGTATTAGGCACCTGTAAAACCACCACAGGATAATTTTAATATAAAGCTAGGCCTGACTCATGTGAAAATGGAATAGGGGTATATAAGCTGACTGGAGAGACTGACTCAAAAAAACAGAAACCACTTTCTAAATATGCATGGGCAACACGTGGTGGCTGTTTTGGTTATTTGAAGTGCATTCGCCCCCACTTTAGACCTATTGCCTCTTCACCATTGCTATTCAGCTGCCTCTCCTATTTCTCTTTTCCATTTTCATTTGGTCCCTTAACCTTTTTTTTTTTTTTTTCCTGTCCCATGGGGGTAAGATTTGTGGGAGTTTCCAGAGGGGGAGAAAAACAGAATGCGCACACAGCTGTTTTTGACTCCTTACACATACAGGAGAGACGGTGATTTTGATGAGTTTTCTAGGGAAAACCCCAGATGAAGCTAACTTCCATCTTTACTCCTAGGTATTTGGAAAAAATGATGTGTGGTTCTGGGTCATCTTCTCTGCAATCCACGTTCTGGCCTCACTAGCCCTCAGCACCCAGATATATTATATGGGCCGTTTCAAGATAGGTGAGTTACCTGTTAATTCTCTACTAAACACACGAATCAACTTCAATGAAAAATCAGACATTGCCTTTACTTATGCTGAATGAAAGTGTTACTGGTCATCATGAACACACGCTCTGGATTCTATGCCACGTTTAATAGCATATATTCTCTCCAGGAGCTTCCTCTCCCTTATAGGATAGTGATAAGCTATTACCACTAGTTCTATTTTCAGCTGAGAAACTAAGATTTGCCACACCTCAGAGAGGAGGTATACCTCCAACCCTTGGTTGCAAACACTTTGCAGTCTGCCAAACTTTGATTTGTATTTAGAAAATGGTACGATCGTCATACCACTAGTTCCACCTAGAGGAACATTTTTCAGTTTGCAGAATTCAAAGGGAGCATTTCTTTAACCATGCTAAATGGTTGTCAAGAATGAATTATATATTTTCAGATTCTAGGGCTGGAACTTTTGAGACCAACTTGCCAATCTTAGAGGCAGGATACCTGCTGAGCTCCCTCCAACTTATCAGAGAGCATTGTATGTTCTACAGAAATCACCTTGTGATCTGCTGTTGGTCAGTCATCATATATGGGAACAGATTCAAGTGGTTTTAGAGCACTTAAATTTTAAAAAATCATTTTAAGTTCCGGTAAGTCGGACTTACATATCCTTTTGTCTATTTTAAGGAAAATTATTATATGTAAACATAGGCAAACCTCTGATATTAACAAAGCCTGGAACAAAAGTCCAAATAAAACCCTGCATAGCTTATGTGTAAGAACATCAAAGTCATAAAGCGGACTAAAAAGCTATTAAATACATGAAAGGAGAGAGGGAGAGAGGGAAAAATATACCTCCACTGCAACGTTGAAGGACTAGGTTCAAATGTAAAATTCTTGGTTCCTCAAAGAACACTTTTTTCTACCTCTGGTTGTGTCTTAAGGAGTCTCACAGGTATGCATGTGGCACCTTTGCCCAACCTCCGATGTTCATCCACATACCCCACAAATAGCCACCACTTGGCCATTCCCTGCTCCTAGAGGTATGTCTTAGTGGTGCCATCTGCCCTCAGGAGGATAGACAAGGGAAGGGGGCTAAGCAGGCCCTAGAGCAGGCTCGGAGCCTTCTGGGCAGGTAGACGCTTCTGGCACCCTGGAGTTCAGAATCTCAAGAAGGAAAAGAGGAGTCCTTTGGCCCTGCAGACTCCTCACTCATGAGGGAATAAGGCCTCTAAAATAGGGGACCCTCTTGTCCAGGTCTAAGAGCAATTCTAAATAAATGAATGGCTTTAAGACCAGAAGACCGAATAGAGCAATTGCTCATTTTCAAAGGTTAGTTCTTTTTCCATGGTCAGTAGATTTACCTCTGGCATGAACATAGCCAGCATACCTCCAAATCCCCCAGTTACTTAAGCCAGTTGTGTAGAACATTTGGCAGGGCACGCTGGGCATGCTCCTCCACCAGACAGAAGGTAAGTGAAGTCATACAAACTAAACTTTCAAAAGGAAAATCATTCGGAGCATTATTGTTCTGGTTTCTTCCAGAGTTGGAAAAATAAATTTGAGTGCAGATATACGCAGTGGAGTGACCACTAATGCACAGAGGAGCTTTCATATATTTATACCACCTTTGCCTTATGCAGTTTTGCAATGCCAAATTATCCTATCTTTTAAAAGACGTGAAATTTAGCGTATTGTATTATGACCATGGAATAATTTGTTAGGGTCCCAACAGGAGAAAGATGTCACACACAAAGAAAAAGAAGGATTTATTCACAGAAGGGCTATTCACAAGATGTGGATGGGGTAGAGAGGAATAAAAGGATATCATGGAAACTTGGGGTTAGCAGCAGTGAAGCTTTTACATCTATAAGCCCAAAAAGACGGGGAAGACATGGTTCCCAAAATGTGGAAGGAGAGAGTTATGGGGGAAAATGTCACTCTGAAAGGAGCAGTGACTTTCATTGACATTCTGGCCAGCCTGCAGTAACCTCACAGGGAGGACGCCAGCAAAATAAGTCCTCCGAGCTCACTTTCCTTCCTTTGTCCCTGTAGTCTCCTGCTGGGATTCCCCATTGTCCAGGGAAAGTCAGAGAATCCACTGACGTCGTCCACACAGGCCCGCCTCCCCAGTGTGGTGGGTCCCCAGGAGACACACTCATGGCAAGTGGGCCTAGTACAGCAAATGGGAGCTAGCCAGCCCGTAGTTTAACTGAATATTTTCCATTTCCGTACCCATGGAGTCTTCCCCAGGTGATTACAGATGAACCAGAGTCCAAAGAAAACGTTCTATTTCGTCGTGACAATGACTGTATCTAAATTTAGTCCAAAGCCAGGAAGTTGGATTCGTGGACAGTGTTCAGCTGACTCCAGCCTTTCTACCCATGTCATAAGCTGCCTTTGCTTTCTAATCACATGTCCTTTCTCTGTGGCCCCTCGGGCTACACAAGCAAATCAATGTGGACACAGGAAAGGCAGCAGCAACGAGGAAGAACATTTAATCATTATCTCTTATAAACCAGAGAGCCGCTTCCCCAAATCACTACTGTGTCCACCATTCCCAGAGCTCTGGAAAACGACCTCCGGGATTTCTCATGAGAGACGCTGGATTATAAACCGGAAGTGGTGCACAAAAGTAGACAGGGAGAGAGAAAAGTCTCAGTTCACTCTGAGGATTTGAAGACTTCTGAATGTTTGCGACAAGCAGAAAGATCCTGTGTTCTTTTTTGACAAGTAAACATTACTTTTATAATCAGAAAGCAAAACTGAAGTCATCCATCTCGAGAAAAAATAAAATGACCAGTAGTTTACATGTTTGGCTACTTTCTTACAATCTCTTCTCTTTTTTTCTCCTTTCTTCTCTGCTTCCTACTGATTCAGATGTGTCTGACACAGGTAATGTTCAGCCACCCTTTCCAGGGGTCTAGATTGCTTTTTTATCAAAGTGACCCAGCTGGCTGTCCTGGCAGCCCTGCTCCCTGAACAGCCTCTTTCAGGCTGGGCAGACTCCATGGGAGTGGGGAGAGAGAGACGCTCGGAGGGGAGACTGCGCTCCACCCTAGCCTGCTCCACGCCGCTTCTGGGATGCCACAGAGCCAGGTGTCTTCCCCCTGGTTAAATTGACCACAGGGGTAACCTTGAGGAGGAGCAGGATTCATAGCAAAGCTGAGATCCACATTCTGGAAAATGTTTGCCTTGGGCAGACCCAGACTGGCATTCGATATCTGTGGTGGGGACAGCTCACAGAAACACAGCCCGCCTTTGAACCTGACTGTTCATGTAACATTTTAATACACACACTCGCTGCATTTCATATCGTCCTTTTCAACTGTGTTTAAAAACCCTTTCCTGTCTTTTTCTCCCCATCTTAACTTACCTCCCCTTGATGATTGTTTCAGTTCAGATAGATTTTCTGAACATGCTCAGTGAGCCTTTAGTTCAATTGTTACTAACTTATAACCACATTGAGAAAGAACAGATCTGAACCTTCACAAGCTAAGATTTCCCATCCTCTAGAGAGAGCGTGTGTTTTAAAGTCGATTGAGGAGACCCATAACATCTCTACTATAAAGAAAACACCACCAGAGTAAACGGTAAACAAAAAGAAGCTTAGCTGAAGGAAATAGAATAAGGGTCGGCCAGCCACCCATGTTATTTGCGAGTGCTTGTTGCTCATGTCCATCTTCCTCGCCTTTCTGCTGTGTAATGCACAGATATGGCATCTCTCAGTGACAATACCATTTTTCAAAGCAAATGCTTATTGCACACCTATTAGGTGCAAAGCATTCTAATGCATTTTAATGAAGGGAGGATGACATCATCCTGGCTCCAAAAGCTTGGGCCACTTCAGAGTATTTGTATTTTCATTGACTAAGCCTTCTCACCATGCATTTTTGTATTATCAGCAGATTTGGGAATTTTCCGGCGGGCTGCCATGGTGTTCTACACAGACTGTATCCAGCAGTGTAGCCGGCCTCTGTATATGGTACGTGCCTGTGTTCTTTGACCCTCTCCTAGGAAGAAGGGGAGTAGTAGGAGGGACAGGCGTGGGGCAGTCACTCAGGGCTCCTAAAATCAAGAGGGCCAGATGGCCCAGGGTGGCTAAAGGCCCGAGTGGGGAAGGAGCATGGTGCTTACTCTTTCTCATAAAAGTCAAGCTAACATGGTCCCATTTTTATAAACAAAATATTTGCTAGTATATAAAAGAGAAGAAAATACATCTACCCAACTGTGAAACAGTGATGATTATGGACACA